AACCAAGTTTATAAAATATCATTGAATTCCATCTTTTTTACTTTGTTTTAGATCTCCTGCTTGATCAGCTTTTGCAATTTCACAGTCATTTTTAGGTTTGAATCCAATTCTAGTATGTGACAAGTAAAATCACAGAAAATGTATTAAATTAGGTTTGTAATTGCCCAGCTATCTCAGTGGCTGTCTCTTAAAATCAATTTTAATACTGTTGTTAATGAGACCTTGGTCTGGGAATCTGTTTCACTCTATTGTTTCTCTAGACAGGTGAGGGTGGGGTTTTCACGTTGACTGATGCCCTCCCCACCCACTGTGTATTTACACCATCTCCATGATGTGGAGAACTCGGTCAATGAGACACCCTATTTCTAAGCCAAGATGTTGGAGGAATACAATAGGATACAACATTCCAGGAGATGACAGCAATCTGAGCAGAAGTCGAGGCCAGAAAGTGCATGGATCTATGGCTCCCTAATTTATTGGCTGCGTATGACCTTGAACAACATGCCTAGCCTCTCTAAGCCTCAGTTTCCACATCTGCACAATGGGGGATAATAGTAGCCATCTCTTAGGGTTGCCATGAGGATTAAATGAAATTATGCCTAGAACACAGTAAGTAATTAGTGAAGATTAGTTGCTATCATCATCATTATTATTTTTATTTCAGGAGCATGGAGATGCGAATTTTTCAGGTCATCATTTAAGACAAAGATGCTGCCTTTTGCTTCTGCTGAGCACCCAAAGGCCAGAGCCAAGTGATGACTCAGTCACTGTACCCAGCAACGAAAACCTGGGACAGTGGAGAAGGGAGAGTGACTGAGGGAATAAAGATATAACTATAGGGACAGATGCCCACATTTGTGTGAATAATGATAACAACTGGGGCAATGAAAACAACGACTGGGAAAATTACCCTGTTTTCTGTGCCTGTGAACTGATGTGTCCTTGTCAGTGTTTCCTGTGACGGTTTTAAACTTCCAGAAGGCATCATTTTATTTTTTTTGAAAGCAGACCAAGTATAAATAGTGAATAAATACATAAATAGTCCTTTGGGTACAGTGCCCAGCAAATAAGTGCTCAGCCAATATCTTTTAATTTTTTAAAAGACTATTGCCGATGAAGTGGAAGAGAAAAGGAGAACATCTTAAACTAATTAGGAAGGTGCCATGGACTGAATTGTGTCCCCCAGATTGATATGGTGAAGCCCCGGACCCCCAATGTGATGTGCTTAGAGATGTGGGCTTTGGGAGGTAATTAGGTTTAGATAAGGTCATGACTCTGAGGCCCTCATGAGGGGATTAGTGCCCTTATAGGAAGAGATTCCAGAGAGCTTGGTCTCTCTCCCTGTACCATGTGAGGACACAGGGAGAAGGTGGCCATCTACAAGCCAAGAAGAGGGCCCTCACCAGACTCCAACCCTGCTGGCACCTTGATCTTGGACTTCTAGCCGCCGGTACTATGAAAAATAAATTTCTGTTGCTTAAGCCACTCAGTCTACGGTATTTTGTTATGGCAGCCCAAGCTGACTAAGAAAGGAGGGTCTTTCACAGTCACTGATAACAGACATACTCCCTTCCATGGGATGGGGAGAGGGCACCTGGAGAATGAGGCAGTGTCACAAGCAGGAGCAGTGGATCCCTACCTGGCCCTGCAGCAGCCAGTCTTAGGATGGGGGCAAAGACCCTGGATTTTAAACAAATTGCCCAGTTGCTTCTGATGTGTAGCCAGAGTCAGGTGGAAAGAGCTGTCTGGTTTTGGAGTGAAACTGACTCCGAGTACAGACTCTTCCAGTCTTGCGGCCTCAGAGAGTTCACCCACTTCTTCGACAGACTTAGTGTCTTTACTTTGTAAAAATGGTATCATAGTACTTCTAACACTTATTGGGGCCTTCTTCCTTCTAGGTGCTGTGTAAGTGTTTCCCACACATTCTCTCATTTAATCCTCACAGCAAATTTTATTTTAAAGGTGAGGAAAATCAGGGGGAGTGAGAGAAAGAGAGACCAAATACTTTATTGAAAATCCCACAGCTGGTGAACGCAGAGTTAGATGTAGATGCAGGTGTATCAGACACCAGAGCTGCAGTTCCCGTGAGGGTTGGTTATGTTGATTTCAAGTGCCGAGATTGGTAGCAGACGTAGTATAGTATTTGTTCACTAAATTATTGTGGCTATTATTATCTCTGTTGAATTAGTATCAATTATCTCTGTTATTGTCATTTAGGACAAACCTGGGATTCAAGTCTGGCTTTCCTTACAGGCTGTCATGGATTGGTTGCATGGCTCTAATCAAGACCAAAGAGGTTTCCAGGAAAACAGGCACTTCTGCTTTTTCCCAGACTGAAACTAACTCTTGCAAAAGAAAATAGAGCAGTCAGTTAAGCCTTCTGGTTTTGGAATCACAAGACCACCAGCTACCAGTCTTGTGATCTGGTCAAGTCACTTAACCCCTCTATGCCTGTTTTCTCATCTGAAAAGAAGGCTTATGTGATAGTTAAGTTTATGTGTCAACTTGCCTGGATTAAGGGGATGCCCGGATCACTGGTAACACATGATTTCTGGGTGTCTGTCAGGATGTCTCTGGAAGAGACAGCACGTGAACGAGTAGACTGAGTAAAGCAGACCACCCTCCCCAATGCCAATGGGTGTCATCCAATCCACCGAGGGCCCGAATAGACTGAAAAGGCAGAGGAAGGGTGAATTCTCCCTCTGCGTGAGCTGAGGCATCCATCTTCTCCTGCCCTCGGACATTGAGGCTCCTGACTTGTGGGCTTTTGGACTCAAACTGAGACTTACCCCAAAGCCCCCTATTCTCAGCCCTTCAGACTGAATTACAACACCAGTTTTCATGGGTCTCCAGCTTGCAAACAGCAGCTCATGGGACTTCTCAGCTTCCATAACCATGTGAGCCAATTTCTGTAATAAATCTCCTCTTAAATATATCTCTATATATCCTATTGGTTCTGTTTCTCTGGAGAGCCCTGACTAAGACAGCTTAATAATGATTCCCCTCTAGGAGGATGGTTGGAGGAATTAAATAAGACAATTCCTGTAAAACATCCAGAATAGTACCTGATATATTAAGTACTTAATATGTGGTAGTTATTATTAATGTTTTTTATTATCTTTCAGGAAAGGTCTTTGACTCTTTGTCTGACCCTGTTAAAGATGAGAAAAATTTAGGCTTAGAGCCATCCAAGTTTGCCTTTGACTTCTGTTCTAGAATAGCAGAAACTCTGCAGCACAGTTTGCATTACCTTAGGCACAATTGCATACCTTAGATTATGTCCCCCTGAACTCAGGCAGGGTGGCGTCCAGGAAAGTCCAAAGCAGGCACCCTGCCCCCATGCCCAGAGGGCCGTTTCCACCTTAACAGTCTGATTAGGGCCTGTAGCCTCCCCAGCCAATCTAACTCCCTGTTGGGCTTGGATTGAACCAGATTCTCACTGTCTTTGTGAATAACGGATTCTAAACACTATGTGATAGTCCCCCGTATATAGACACGTGGGTATGTGCAGGTGTATCGGTACTGCTTAATGCACAGAAATGTGCACCAGAGATTCTGAAACTGGAAAAGTCTATGAATTGAACAGGACAAGTGAGAGTTCAAAACCCATAGAATGTGAGGCCCTGAGCCGCCATCATCTGGAGTTTGAGGCTTTCTGTCTTTAGCTTTTGTAACTGGAAAGACATCTATTTATTAATAATTCATTAATAACAGCCACCATTTACTAGGAATTTACTACATGGCAGGCACCAGGCTAAGTCCTAGTGTATACATTACCATTTCATCTAGTCATCACTCTGCAGGTACTATTATTATCTGCAGTGGGGAGACCAAAAAACTGAGACCCAGCGACTGAGTCATTTATACCAGGTCACATGCCACATAAGTATGGCAGAGCGAGGAATTGAACCCAGGCTATTTGGCTCCATACCTAGGAAACATTAACTATAGTTTTCTCAGAAAGTTTTCAAATACATGATTTTAAAAATATGCCTTATTCTAAAGTGGTATTTCTTATCCCATCCAGAGAGCCTTTTCTCCCCACTACTGCAGTGCCTCTGTGTTTATCATGAAAGCCAGTGAATTGATTGGAGTCACCCAACAAAAATTTGCCATATAGACAAGCCTTGCCCAAACACATCTATTCCTTCCAGAGAGGGCTACCCAGAGTGCCAGTGTCTAAGAAGATGGGCAAGCTAATGAGAGCGCTGAGCAATTACCTGGAAAATGCAATCGATGCCAGCAGGCAACAAGAATAATTTAAACCAGTAAACTCTCTCCCCTCAACTGCAAGTTTCGATGTCGAGTTTTCTTTTTCAGTCTTTTTGTTTTGGTTTCCATTGGCTGAGCTTTCCAAATAATTGTTCCATCTGTCCACTTCACTTTGCCTGAGTAATCACAGCCCGAGGGGAGTTAGAAGTCAAACGTCAGACATGCAGGGAAAACGAATGTGTGGGAGGCTGTGGGAAGAGAAATCGTTGTCTGTTCTCCTTCCCTGCCGCCGGGCCAGGGTCGGAAAGTAAATTATAAGCACCAGTTGCCCCAGGGAGGAAGCTACAGTTTGGGAGTGGGGTGTGGGAGCAATTTGGGAGACCCCATTGTCAGGAGTGTTGGCTACTAGGATGGAATGCATTTAGCGATGGGGTTAAGGAGAGAGATCATAGCCAAGCCAGAGAGGAAAAGTGTGGAGACAGGAAATAAAAGCCAGAACACTTGTAACAGCTTTTTACTGTGCCATTTACTCTGTGCTAGGCCCTTGGCTGGACATTCCCTTTACTTTATTATTTTGATCCTCCCAAAAGCTCTATTTCACAGATAAAGAAACTGAGGCCCAGAGAGGTCACGTAACTTGCCCTAAACCACAAAACTAGTAAAAAGCAGAGCCAGGATTTGAGCTAAATATATCTTAATCCAAAGCCTTTGCTCTTAGCCACTGCTCTTGGCTATTCTAACCCAAAGTGCTCACCAGAGGTGGAAGCAGAGGCCTGGAGAGGACAAAGATAAAAGCATGCTTACTATTTATTCCATGTCTAGAGATATGACATGCATTAGAACAAAAAACAAATTAGATCTTCAATTTACAGAGGCACAGAGAGGTTAAATAACTCACCGAGGCCACAAAGCCAGTAAGTAGGTTAGTGGAGGATTTGAACCTGGGTCTCTGAACCCTGTCAGTGTATCCGGCGACCTCCCTTCTCTCATACCATTAACTTCCAGGTAAAGCAAATGAGCTCTGTCTCTTATAAGTTCTGTTCCACAGATGCCGTGTTCCCAAAGATGTTTAGCAAGAGAAAATAGGTTTGTAAAAATGCTATACTAAACAAGGTCAAACAGATTTCTAAAATCTAAGACTCTCCCAGCATCTAACCTGCTAATGCTTATTGTAAATATCCAAGATAGAGATACGATAAGCAGAAAATCTACAACTTATTTGACTACAGAACCATTTTTTCTCGGATAAAGTTTGGGCCATGGTTGGCCGATGTGTCTACCACAGATACAGCTTTCCTCCTACGCCCTCACCTCTGTGCAGCAGGATGGAGGTTTTTAAAAAACCCGGCACTCACACTTTTTGCTTCCTATACCTGGATCTTACGGCAGCTGAGCTGCCACTGGGACGTGGTGAGGTCCCTCTTTGTTGCTCTCTTACTGCCTCTTCAGGATCCCACTCCAAATCTCTATCTTAAATGCCCTTCCTTATATGACCCATCCGCTCCCAAGTGTAGGGAGTCGCATAGAGATCATTCCACTCTGATAAAATATTAATAGAAAAGAATGGCTTCTTTCACTAAGCCATCTTATGGAAGGGGCTCTGAAAGGGAAAGTCAATGCAGAGAAATGCCTCTTAGTGGTGGGATTTTGAGCATGAAGTTCAGCTTGTGCCGTGTGGAGTGGGTTGTAGGATCTTGCTGCTGTAAAGCACAGGCTGCAACCTGCTCTGACTGAGGATAAAACCAGCATGAGGACGAGAATCTCACGATGTGACATCAGGGGTACAAACTGTACAGCTAGGATGTTCTGGTGGGTTGGGTGAGACCAAAGAAGAACCCTAGAATAAATTTTCAAATTGACATGTATGGAAAACTTGAGATTAGGCAGCCATAGTGCCATCTAAAATTGAGGAAATAAATCTAAAATATTTTATTTCATAAAGACATTTTCTTTGAATTCTCCTAAATTTTGTAATAGTAAAATTAACATCAGCATTTGATAACCTTGCATTGACGTGAAGGTCTGACCTGAGCCAAAGGGAACGAGAAGGCACCAACTCTAGCGCACCTACACGGGTCATTCCTGTGGCGCAGTTCCTCGGCTTCTGACCTGGTGCAAAAGGCTGTGGAAGCAGAGTTTCAGTTGGCCCAGTTCCTACCACAGGGAGTGGTTGGTGGAATCACTTCACGCTTTCATTCCTTCACCCATTTGCTAGTTACTGAGTGCCAACTGCAAGTCAGGCACTGTGCTTGGTCCTAGGAATACTGCAGAAGGAGACAGACACAGTCACTGCTCCCAAGGGACTGCGCAGCAGTGGAGAAGATGAATGTCAATCAAATTCTCACATCCTGTTAAGAAAGACACAACCTCCCTACCCCTGTATATTTACACTATCTCCGTGATGTGGGGAACTTGGCCAATGAGATACCCTATGTCTAAGCCAAGACGTTAAAGGAATGCAATAGGAGACAACATTTCAAGAGATGAAAACAATCTGAGCAGAGGTCGAGGCCAGACAGTGTATGGCTCATCCTATTAAGTAAGAGAGCTCTGGCACAGACTAAGGGGTCTTAGCAAAGGAAGGTGATGGTATGTGATGCTTATTTAATATCTAAAACATCGCCCAACCTGCTCCTCCCCATCTCAGTTAATGGTACCTCCATTTTTCCAGTCTCGTGGGCCTAAAGCATCTTGGCCTCGCCCTTCACAACTGTCTTTCTTGCACACACAACATCCAACACTCCTCACTACCTGCACTGCTACCATCCTGGTCTATTTCTCTCTTGGATTATTGCACTGGCCTCCTAACTGGAATTTTTCTCCTTCTGTTTTCACTCTTGTTTCTTTTCTGTACAGCAGCCAAGTTTTCTAGTGGCTTCTCATTTCCTCTAGAGTATAAGGTAAAAGTCCTTACAGCGTCCTAAGGGTTTGAGTCCTATATTATCTGCCCGCCACCACAGCGTCTCTGTCCCTATCACCCATTGCTCCCCTCCCTCCTCTCTCTGTAGCCACACTGTTTCCTTAGTGTTCCCTAAACACACCAAGCATTTTCAGCGTCAGGGCTTTTACAAAGGCTGTTGTCTCTCCCTGGAATGACCTCTCCTGGTTGTCTGGCTCGCTCGCTCACTTCTTTTAGGCCTTTGTTCAAATGTCACTTTATTAGAGGGGACTTATCTAACCTTCTTATACAAATCTGTGTCCCCTGCAGCTTTTTTATTCACCTTAACCAGCTTCTTTTTGCTTCATAGAACTTATCACTACTTAACAAATCATGTATTTATATATTTCATTATTGTCTATCTTCCCATATCCTAGAACGTAGGTTCCATGAGAGCAGCTTTCCATTATCCCCACAGCCTTGGACATACTTGGCCCTCGATAAATATTTCTTTAACAATTTATTGGATGATTAAGTGATGCAATAAGACACAGCATCGCACCAGCCCTAAAGCTTGGAGGACTTGCCAAATTCCAGTGACATTCAGCTTAGTTCGTCTCTCCAGCCATTGTAATTGTCCTTCTTACTACTTGTTATTCACACATCTTCTTTTGCATGAAACTACAAAAGTAGCTTATGTCCTCCCTGGAGAGTGCCATTTTCCTAGGCAGCTCCTCTCCCTGATAATGATCCAGCATCTATTTCAATGGGGTTAGTTCAACAGGTGAGCCATGTATGTCTAGTCATTTCGGGGCTCTCCCCACACCTGGTTGTTTCAGGAGACACTCTTTCTAGTAGCCTGGGCTCCAGCCAGAGAAGAGATCTGCTGTGTGTGGGAACCGTGTGACCTGAAAGAAGCAGAAGAGGAGGTAAGTTCAGATCATCAAAAAGTGAACCACAGCATCCTCTTTAATGTCCCTCTTGACTGCCACCTTTTGTACTTGGCATGTGTGTAGAATTTTAAGAAAAATCTGAATTTACTAGTTTACCATGACTAATGGATGCTTCATTTTCCAAAGGAACCCTGAGGTTCCTTTTAACCAGCAAGTTTTTCCCTCATACACGTAGGATAGAATTGGGGCCGCAGAAATTCCCTCTGCATTTTACAACAGAGGCACCTGATGGAGATGTCACAAGGAAGGAGGCCTGAATTCTGATTCCAACCTTGCCACGCAAGGTATGACCTTGGGCAAGCCCCTTAGCTTCTCTGTGCTTTAATTTCTTTGCTTATCATCGCTTAACCGATAGGGCTGTTGTGAGGACTATGAGTTGTGCTTCTCTTGGTGCCCAGCGTAGAACAGAACCTCAACAGACAGTAGCTCTAGGGTGAGAGACATATCTAACATGTTCAGGAAATTCACCGGCCGTGCTTATGCATTTCTGTATGCATGTTCCTACTCGGTGTTACCTCTGTGGGTATATGCATCACGGGCAATTTGCAGCTTCAGTTTACAAGAAGCCAATATTGGGCATGCTTACCTACTGTGTTCTGGGTGGCTTCCAGGGGCTGCTCTAGGATCCTGGAGCACGTTGTAAATGACCATCCCTTGCAGTATGTTCCATGCCTGCAGATTCTGAGTTTTTGTTTTCTGTTTCCGTTTGCTGTCCGAGCATTATTTTAGCTTCTCACTTTGCAGATTCTATTTGCATTTACTTTTTTCCATAGTCAGGAAAGAATGTTGAGAAAGGGGATGAAGGATAGGATAACAAATAAAGCTGTACCTGCTTAGCTGGCTGGATTTCCTCCTTCTTAGTTTGATGTGGCACTGTTGATTTCCCTGCTTGGAAATAAGCTCGTTGCTTCCCATCTTGCCAACCTTTTGATCACTGTCTTCCTTTAGCAAGAAAAAACAACCACCACCAAAATTTCATTTGCCATATAGTTTAGTTGAATTTAAAGCTGCTGTCACAAAATAAAAGAAAAACCTCACAAATAAGAATACAGCGAATCCTAGGATTAGGTTACCTCTGAAGTTTTAAAAAATTCCTCAAGGCATTTATTTGCAAATTGGACTTCATTTGCATATTTATAAGCATCATACAAATGTATTATTTATTGAGTGGTCCAGGTATGCCTGCTAAAATGAATGATTGCAAATTCAAACTTCATTTAATAATCCTCATTGTAAATCTAGTCCCCCAAACTGCAGGAAAACTGGGCTTTTCAACTCTGCCTTTTCTGATCTATTCAAAATACTCTAGGATCCACATTATGAGCAACCATTCTGAGGATCATAGGCCTGTGGATTTAAAGAGAATGGTTTCCAATATATAAAATTACAAAATACGAAATAATTTACAATGTCAAAATTGCCTGTTCCCGTTGGGTTGCATCTTACCTGTCCCTTCCATCACAGCGATACCCATCCCAAAGATGGTCTGGCAAGTCTTCCTGCAGAAGCATGATCTCACACTTAGGCAGTTTCAGTTGTCAATGACTCAGGATTTGGGAGTTTCATGCCTTGATAAGTTGTCTAACCTGTAGGTACAGGCCTGAGAAGAAATCCAACTTGAGCTGGTGCTGATTCCTGCTGATCTCAGATGCCATGGGCCACAGAAAACCACACCTCCCAGATCCAAGGCAATTGATGAGTCACTAATGGGTACATGAGAAAACAAAATTAAACGAGCAGACCATTGTTTGGCTTTTGGCCACTTGTGCTTTACAATTCACCATCCATTTTAAGTGAAGCAATGTAGTAAGTATGATAGCTATTTTTTGTTATGATTACTCTCTTTGGTGAAATGTAATTATAGACAGAAAATGCTGAAAATAGAGGAGTATTTGCTAAAGCATCTATCAAGGCTTTTTTTTGCAAAATATTTTTTTCTTCAGGATGCTAGAAGACAATTTTTTCCTTGTAGAGCCCCATGATGTTCTCTGTATTATTGGGAGTGAGACACTGGTACAATGACAAAGTGCTGGCCCTGTATCTTGGCTTCCTTCTGCTTGCCTATTGTACTATGTAGCTGAGCACTGGTTATTACCTGTGGGAACGGCTTACACTATGGGATTAAAGAGCATCTTCTTCTCCTATTCTAATTCAATTAAACAATCACTTCCTGATCTTCTAATAGATGCCAGGAGTTGTTTTAGACTCTAAAGGTGAAAGGATGAGTAAGATACAGGTCCCGCCCTCAAAGATTCAGTCTATAAACAGAGATGTAAATAAAGAATTATAATGCAGTGCCATTCGTGCTTTGATACTTGACATTTGGCTAAAGGCTGAAAATTGTGAACCAGAAGATGAGTAAAATGGATTGTTCTGAACTGATTTACCTCCTAAAATCTAAAAATGACTTTAGTTTTTACTGCAGAAGAAATAAAAATGATTGTGTAATTACGCAGAGATAACATCTGCTTTCTCCATTTGTGTATGAGGGATTGGATTCAGCTGTAACTGAATAAACAGTTGCTTCTACAAATTAAGTTGGATTTTTTTTCTGCTATGAAAAGCCAGAGGCAGGCAGTTGCCATGTTGGTTCAGTGGCTCGAAGACACCGGGGCCAAGATCTCTGTGGTCCTTTCTCTTTGGAATGCCGAAAGACTGCAATAGCTCCCGTTATCACATACTGTTTCAGAAAGGAAAAATGGGGAGCAATGGTAAATAAGGAAAAAGTAGCATCTGTATCATGAGACTAAAAGTGTTTCCAGATACTCCTGGCAGAAGCAGATACAGTCATGCATCACTTAACGACTGGGATACCTTCTGAGAAATGTGTTGTTAGGTGATTTCATTGTTGTGCAAACATCATAGAGTGCACTTATACAAACCTAGATTAGATAGCCTATTACCACCTAGGCTTTCTGGTACTAATCTTATGGGACGACTGTCATATATGTGGTCTGTCATTGACTGAAATGTCATTAGGTGTCATATGACTGTATGAGTCACATGGCCAACCCTAGCTTCAAGGGAGTCTGAGATTACAAGAGGTTTTTTCTTTTTTAAGACAGGGTGACACGTAGCAATGAACAAAATCAGGAATCTCTTAGTAAGATAGAAGGAAAGGATGGATATTGCATAGACAACCAAGAGTGCCTGATACACTATTTTATCATAAATACAAAATAAAGAGAAAATATGGATGAGAGAATGATTAACTATCTAAGGAGATAGAGTCTGCTACTAGAGCTGGATTTTGAGGTGAAAAGAACAATCTTATTAGAAGCCAGAACTATGTTATAAATGGTTTTGATTATGTTTTTAATTTAAATATTAGTTTCATATGAGTGAAAATTCTGGTCACTTGACTGATATGACATGAGGCAAACAAAAAATTCATTGTCTGTAGAAACAATCTTCTACGCTGATTTAAATTTCTACTCTTAGGAATCCTCTAAGAACTTTTTAAGGACTCTCTTATACTACTACTAGAAGTAATGAAATAGTAGCTCATAGCTTAGAACAATTGGTTTCACGGGTTAACACTGTCTTTAGCAGAAATCGCAGTCTGAAGGAGGGGTCCACAGCATAAACACATTTCATATGTGGGTCACAGGAATGCTGGGACGCTACAATGGAAACCAGGAACTTCTCAAGGCTGATGAGTGTTTTGATTGGATGGAAACATAAGCAGGCAGAATAATTCTAGATAGATGGACAAATGTTGTAGAATGTAAACATGGTCACATAGCCTAGGGCATTTCTTTTTTTCACCAAGGACTGACTCTATGCAGTAAAATATCCAATGGTTAAAAAAGAGTGGAGAGAGCAGATAAGCTCAGTCCAGATATCAGCTCACTGCTCATTGCAGACCTATTGAGGTGAGATTCTCAGACTTGGAAGAGCATTTTAAAAAAATGTTATTCTAGTTTATTGGACTTCTCCCTCTGACCAAGATGGAAAGCAAGGAGTGTATTTACCCTCCTTCCTGAAACAAATAAACAAAAGGATAAGATATGTGAAGCAATGATTTTCAAGACATCAGACATCAAACAATGAAGGATGATGATCTCAGAGAGGTAAAAAAATGATCCCACTCCCGTAATTGCCCAAGTTTGCTGCCTTGAGAGAATTTCCAAGCCATTGTATAAGGAAGGGGAACTCAGGTGGATCCCAGAAAATTATCTGAGTTAAGGAGATGGAGCTGACAGTTAGAGAGACCAAGGAAGATAGAGTTTGCAGAAAAGGGAACTAGAGAGAAAAGATCTACACAGACAGAGAGCTCCAGGGATGTGCAAGTATTCATCAGAGTGCTATCAGTGTACACATGAGAAGAAGCTACAGGAGCCACCCAGAAGGATTAGAATAAACAGTACCCAGTGTTCACATAGGGCCAAGAATACTGCCTGTTCCCACCCACCCAACTGGAAAACGTCATAATTCATGGGTCATTGTGTAAAGTACTCAGACGGGTATAGGCTCAGGAGTGAGAATAATTAGCCCCAGACTAAAAAGAGCTCTGGTTCTACATAATAAATCTTAAAATCAAGACCTGAAGAGATCGCTTTATTTCCAAGTAACTTAACTGCCTCCCAGAAGAAAGATTAAAAAAATACATTTACAGGAAAACAAAAATACACAGCACATAACAAGGTAAGAGTCACAATGTCTGTCATTCAATAAAAAAATTACCAGGTACGCAAAAGAGAGTGAGAATAAAATCCATAATGAGGGGAAACTTTAATCAATTGAAACTGACCCAGAACTGACACAGATGTTAGAGTGAGCAGAACAGGGCATTAGAACAGTCATTATAACTCTATTACATGTATTCAAAAATTAAGTAGTGACATAGAAGAAATAAAAAGGCTAAAATTGAACTTCTAGAGATGAAAACCACAATGTCTGAGACAAAAAATACACCAAATGGGATTAATGGCAGATTAGACACTGCTGAAAGAAAGATGAGTGAACTTAAAGACAGAGCCATAAAAGATATCCAAAATAAAGTAGATGAAAAAAAACTTTTAAAGGATGAACAAAGCATTGGTGAACTGTTGGATAGCTTCAAATGGATGAATATATGTAGTTGAAGTCCCCAAAGGAGAAGGAATGGGGGCAGAAAAAAGCTTTTTGAAGAATTAAGGGCTAAAATTTTTCCAGATTCAATGAAAACTATAAGTCTCCTGGGCCAAAAAGTTCATACCAGTACACAGAATAAAATACTCAAAACCAGGGATAAAGAGAAAATTTTAAAAGCATCCAAGATAAAGACACATTATAGACGGAAGAACAAAGATGACAACAGGTTTCTTGTTGAAAACAGTAGAAAAACATCTTTAAAGTACTGAAAGATGAACCTACATCAACCTAGAATTCTATACCCAGTGAAAATATCCTTTAAAAACTTTTCCAGACATATAAAAGCTGAAAGAATTCAGATCCAGCAGACCAGCACTATAAGAAATATTAAAGGAAGTCCTTTAGGCAGAAGGAAAATGATACCAAGTAAAAAACAGAGCTACAGAATTTAGGGCAACAGAAATGGTAACTACATGGTAAAAATGAGAGTTTTAAAATTATTATTTAAATCACTTTAAAAAATAATTGACTATTTAAATAAAATAATAACAAAGTTGTAGGAGATTTATAAAAGTAAAATATACAAGAGCAATTTCACAGAGATTGGGAGGGGAGAAATTGAAATATACTATTGTAAGGTTTTTGGATTATATATGAAGTAGTATAAAATCACTAAAAAGCAGACTATTATAGTTTAAAAAAGGATACTATAAAGCCTATAGTAATCATTAAAACAGCAAAACTAAGAAGTATAGCTTAATACTGAAAAGATTAGATGAAACAAAGTCATAAAAATACCCAATAAACCAAAAGAAGGCATTAAAAGTAGAGAGGGAGAACAAAAAACAGAAGAAACAAATAGAAAACAATAAGATAATAGATTAATTTTAAACCTAACTATATCCATATGCACAATAAATATGAATGCTATAAAAATGCCAATTAAAAGGCAGAGATTTTGAGATTGGATTTTAAAAAAAATAAAATCCAACTATATGCTGCCTACAAGAAGTACACTTTAAATATAAAGACATAAACAGGTTAAGAGTAAAAGGATGGGAAAAGGCATACCATGCTAATGCTCATTTAAAGAAAGCTGGAATGGCTATATTAATATCAAAATAGATTTCAAAGTATATTGCCAAAGATAATGAAGGTCATTTTATAATTATAAAATGGTCGGTTTATCAAGAAGAAATAACCATCCTACATGTCAATGCATATAACAACAGAGCTTCAAAAATATAAATAAAAAATGAAAAGAATTGAAAGGAGAAATAGCGAAACCCATAATTATATGAGATTTCAATACTCCTCTCCTAATAATTGATAGAACAGAAAATCAGTAATGATACAGAAGACTTAGCAGCACAATAGGCCAACTTGACCTAACTGACATTTGTAGAACCCTCCACTCAACAACAGCAAAATATGCATTCTTTTTAAGTGTACCTAGAACATTTAGCAAGATAGGCTATATTCTGGGCCAGAAAATAATTTTCAAGAAAATTAAAAGGATTTAAATCAAGCAAAGTATCTTCTTTGACAATAATGACATTAAACTAGAGATCAGTATGAAAAGATCTCTGGAAAATCCCTCCAAAAATTCAAAACTAAATCATGCAAC